GAACATGTGGAGCAGGAAAAACTACTTTAGTAAAAAAATGCAAAGAATACTTAGAAAGAAAAGGATTGAGAGTAAAAGTACTAAATGAATCTTTTATCACTGAAGACTCTTTTGGAGGATTAAAGAAATATGGAGAAAACCTGAAAAAATTTAGAAAACAAGAATTAAACAGAGAACAATTTCGAAAAGAAACTATAGAATAGGAAAAATGGATAAGAGATAATTGGATGACTCAAATTTATATCTGCATGGCACATGAAGAAAAACCAGATGTAATATTAATGAATTGAAATTTAATATCAACAAAATTCTTTATGGAAATAATGAAAAAGAAGGATATTTTGAAGAAGAGGATAAAGAAAAAATTTGCAAAAACTATAAACAATGGCAAGGATTATTAAGAGAAGCATTAATAATTTTATGAAACACCCCAATTGAAGAAACTATAAAAAGACTAAGATTTAGAGGAAGACCTGAAGAAGAAAATATAAAATATTTTCAAACTTTAGTAGAAACATATCAAGAAAATGCTATTAAGATATACCTGAATGTAAAAGTAATCACTAAAGAAACCCTTATTCCAAAAGAAGAAATTAATAGTTTTATAATCAATATTATTAATGAAAAGAAAATATATTTTCAAATCAGAAGATACTACAAATAAAATGTCACCTCAAAAGAAGAGAAAAATAGAAGAAGAAATTACTGACCTGGATATAGTAAAAACAACTAAAACTTAGATGAAAGAAATATTTAAAATTCAGAACAATAGAATTAAAGGAGACAGCCTGAAAAAAAAAAGCAGCACAAATATTAAAAGCTCAGAATATGATAACTATAATGACAAAAACCCACCTCTTAGAAGAAAATGAAGAAAAAATAAAATTAAGAAAAATTGTAGGAGATGGAGGAATAGATTTATTTGAAGAAATAGTAATACATAATCAAATATTACAATGGATAGCACAATGTAAAATGACAAAAAAATTAGAAAATAGTTTAGTAAATAAAATGAAAGGATTATTATCTTCCAGACCTAATACAATAGGATTTATTATATATGGAGGAAAAAAGGATAACACTGAAGTAATGACTGAAACAGCAAACAGTAACATATTTGTATGTTATATAGAAGAATTACATACATTGAGAAGACGAATATCAAAAAAAAAAAAAAAACTCTTTCCCGAATTATTTTGTAATACAAAATACGCAGTAATATTATATTAAAATTGTTTTATTTTTATTTTACTTTAATTAAAAGTTCAGGAATCTGGCATAATAAGTGATAGCTCAACCAGTGACCACCAAGGAGATCAACAAGAATCCAGTTGGCTTCACAATCAAATATACAAACCCAATTAAAAAATCAAAGAAACAATCCTATTAAAAAAGTGGATAAAACAGTGGCACCATTTATTTCAAAAGAACCAACAAACATAAAAAGTAATATTAAAAACAACAGTGATATTAAAAAAATAGAAGTTACGGTCACGATAGAACAATCCGAAGTAATAATTAACAATGACAATGATAAAAGTAAAGAAAAACAAATTGATATTGAAGAATTGACAATTGATATCGAAGAAAATAATGAGAACGAATGGACTGAAGTAATTAACAAAAAGAAAAAGGCAAAAAATACAGACAATATAGCAATAGATCCTGAAGTAATAGAAGAAGATAAAGAATCAGTGGTATCATATGAAATGAATAATAGTTTCCATTCAGACTGGAGACAAGATCTCAATGCAAAAAATTCAAAATTTGAACTTACGCTGAAAAAATTCCTGGAAAATTGATGGGCGAAAAAATTGAATTTGTAAAAAAAACCATTAGAGTAAAAACTGAATTAATCCTAGTTAGAATAAAGAACAATAGAAAAGACAAAATGATTTCTGTATTGTTTGACAACAAAGAAAATATGCAAGCCACACTGGAAGTAAATGTAGGCACAGATGCGAAACTGCTCACCTACATGTATAGAGCACAATCGTATAAAAATAATATATTGAATGAAAGGAAAATGGGTATTAAATTATGGGACATCCCTATTGGTGTGAAATATAACGAATTAAAAAGTGAATTAGAAAATATATATGGCAAAGTGGAGCAATTAATATTACGCCCAACAGGAATGTGGCAATGGGCAATCGTTATCTTTAAAAAAGAAGAAATAACTAAAGAACTTCTTAATCAATGGAGCATAATTATTGGTAAAGACTCACTCCGTGTCATACCAACTGATTGTAATTATGATAATCTCATGTCACGTGATAAATTTGCTACAAGGATAATCAATTTACCCTTTGGTATCACAGCAAAAGAGATTATTTCTAATATCAAAACAATTGGTGCACTTACTTGCTATATCCCTAGGTCTCTTAATTATAGACATAGAAGTGAGGCAATTATATTATTTGTAAGTGAAGAGGTGCTAGAAACGGCAATTGGTAAAGAGTGGAAGGCAAGTGAATTCAACATTAAAGTCACAAGCATGGCAGCGAAAACATGTTACAGATGCCACTCTGAGGAGCATATTGCTAAAGATTGTTCACAATCAATAAATGAAAGGAAAATTGAAGAAACAAAGAATGAAAATTTTCTAAAATTTAGAAATATTTACAAAAGATACAATCCAAAATCATATACAAACCTAAATAAAAAATTTGGCAAAAAATCATTTGCTGATATATTAAAAAATAATAGTAATAATAACAATAATGCAACGATGTATACAAACCAAAATAAAATAATAGTAAATGATGATGTAAAAGAAAGGTTAGACAGAATAGAACGAATTATTACACAACTAGTTAATAGATTTAATAAATTAGAGAATTTCGTGCAAGACAAACTCAATCTTAATCCTGAAACTAATCAATATCATAGTGATTACAATGAACCCGAGGTTGATTCACAAATGGATTTTGATAAATTGAATCTACACAATTTGGAAGGAAGCGAAGAATTGAAAAGTAAAAATGAAAATAAGTTTGGAAGATTATTACAGGTGGTAGAACAAGTCAGCCAACGTATGAATACACTTGAATCTAATATACATGCAAATGAAAATAAAAAATATAACAATAATAACAATGATAATCAATATGAGAATTGGGGGTTCCAATACATCCGACATAATCTAATAGACAATCCTTATATATAAATTTTAACAAATATGATAGATAACAATAATAATAATATAAATAATAATAATAATATAAATATAAATATAAATAGTAACACAATAGAAAATAATCATAATATAAACATTAATAATAATAAGTTAGATTTAGATTTAAATTTAACTCATAATAATAGTGAAACAATAAGTAACTCAGACTTTAAGATAACCACACATAATATATGAGGATTTAACGATACAGTGAAATGAAGCTTGTTTTTTAACTATATCAAAAATAAACAGTTCGACATAGTGGGTATAGCAGAAACAAATTATAGTGATAACAAAGGGCAGTGGTATAAAGACAATAAGGATAAATTTCGTATCCATTGTTCGGACAACGGAAAAGGAACTGGGGTAGCCTTAATAATTTCAAAAACACTAAATAAGTATATTTATAAAAAAAGAGGATATGGGGGTAGGGCAATTTGTGTAGATCTAGTCCTTCCAAGAAAAATGACAATTTGTGTAATGCAAATTTATTTACCAAGTAAAAAAAGTGACAAAGTTAATGTAATTAACTGGATTAAAATTTAATTAAATGAAGCTCAAAGGAAAAAGAAAAAAGTTATCGTGATGGAAGATTTTAATGCAGTACCGTCACCTGCAATAGATCAAAATAACAATAGTCACTCACACTTTTCAGAAAGTGAAATCTTTCCGCTACTAAGTAGTCATGATTTAATTGATTGTTATAAAATAATGTTTTCTGAAAATATAGGGTATACATGGAAAAGAGATAATTCAAATGAGGAAAGTAGAATTGACGCAATTTGGATATTACACAGATGGAGTGATAAAATTACGTCATGTTTCTTAGACAACATTAAGTTTATACATGTCGTCAAAACTATTAAATTGAGTCAGACACAATTAAAATTAGGAAAAATTGGAATTGAGTCAAAGAACCCTTTTTTTTAACAATGACGCAAGACGCAATTTTTGACGCAAGACGTAACTATTGATACAAGATGCAATTATTGACGCATGATGCAATTGTTGACGCAAGACGCAATTATTGACACAATTATTGACGCAATTATTGACTCAAGACGCAATTATTTATATAGACGCAATAGGTTTTCATAGGTCACAAAGGATCTATAAACTTTTAATTTCTAAAAAAATTAAAAAATTTTTTTTTAACCAGGTCTCAATTTTAATCTCTAAAAATTTTGCAAAAATAAGTAA